GTAAAGTAATGCACTTTAAATAGTATGCACCAATTTATTTTTCCAGTGATGTGCAATGTTGCTGTTTTGTCTCTTTAATGTTTGATTTCAAATACTTTGTACAATAGCCATAGACCTTTATATTTTCAAGAGTTTAAATGAATGTACACTTAAAATCTAGGCTCTTGAGTGGTTCATGAGAATATTAAAACCAGGTTTGGAATAGGGAATGACAACCCATATTCTCTTCTTCCCCATACTTTATTTCATGTCCTATGCTTAAAATATTTTATTATCTGATGGAAAGCTGATTTTATCCCCCCCTCCCCAACCTTCCTTCAAGTAGCCTTTAGGTAGCACTGGCAGTAGAGCATGAATATTTATTTTTTTAATCATTAAAAGTAATACTGAAACTTTTAAAATACGGCACCAAAAATCATCCCAGATTCTGACCTTTTAAAGCTGTCTTTTCATAATGTACAGTTTTAAGTTTTGATATGAATCCCTTAACATCTTAAATATCCCATTGAAAGCGTAAGTGTCTTTAAACGTCCTCCAATTGGATTTTGAATAATGAAATTCAAAGCTATAGTTCTGTGTGCTGTAGTTGTAGAATTGCCACACTTTTGTTTTCTAAAGTTAAATGGGTATTCTTCAAGAAACTATTCTTGCCCCTTCCCTACAATCATGGTAAATTTTGTGATTGGGTAGGTGTAGAGGCATTTGGTCTTTATAGCACAGTGTTTTGTGGCATCATGACCCGAAAGGATGAATGTTGGTAAGGATTTAATGCTTAGATACCTCCAGGAAGAGTCCTGTGCTCTACCTTTTACACAGATAGCATGAGTTTCTAGGGATGGAACAATTCAGGGAAAATGTACATATTTAAATTTTTATATTAAAATGGTGGGATTCATAATACAGCTTTTCATAAAAGCAAGTGGTCAATGGTTCAACTAAATGGCTGGTAAATTGTACTGCATCCTATTATAGCTCCATTTCAAGCACAGAACAAAACCACCTTTCAATCCTAACTGCCAGAAGGGGTAAATGCAAAAGTTAAGCTAGCCAGGTTTATTCATAAATTGGGCTCTGGCCCTCTAAAGGAGACTCCTGTTCTTAAAAACATTTTTAATGCACATTTTTTTTCATAAGCAAATGTTATGCGAAACAGGGTACAGGTATGAGTTGATAATAGAATATGTAGGAGCAGTATGGCCAGTAGATGGATTTCATTATCTTACACTATACTTAAATATTGTTCTGCAGATTTTTCTTGTCTTTAATTGAGCATTAGAGATTAAACTCTTATATCAAGATGTGCTACTTTCTCTTGTTAAAAAGAACAAAATCATCAGCCTACTCAGCTTTTCAGCATACATATCCTTCCAGTTAAGCTGTTTGTTTTTAGGTTTGAACTGGAGAGAGATGACAAAAGGCAAGGAATGTTTGCTTATTTTAGGTCTGTGAAATTAAGGTATTGGAACTGAAAGTCTGTTTTTTATTTTAAACAAACAAATTGTCAGTCATGATTGTAGCTTTTGAGGAAATGCTAATGGGGTAATACTGTGTTTGATGCTGCTCCTCTGCTCAACAGCTTCCAGCAGCTTGGAGCCAAAGCCATCTGTGTAAGACAGGCATCTGCTAAAAGTTAGTGCTCTAAGTATAGTTTGAGTCCTGCCAAGAGCCTCAACTTGCTAAAGGTAGGAGCATTTTTTGTCTAGCTAGATCCTTGCAACTTCTCTACTGCTCTTTGCATCTGCTGATGGTACTGAATGGGTTTTTTCCCCCCTTGTAAACGTTATTGCCTGTTTGGTTGATATGTAATACCGTACAGAGGATGTTTTTTGCTGTAATTATTCTGAAGACATTGTTTCTCTGTATTGAGGTCCAGTGTCCAAATATGTTTCTTGCACTCTAAAGTACATTAACTTTTTCATTCTAATTTAATAAATGTATCATCTGAATGAAAGTGTATTACGTCTCTGTTGGAGAGCACCACAATGTTAGTTTGTCTACAGACCAATCTAAAATTCAAGTATTGGTTACTGTCTTTTATTCAGTATTGAACATAGGTTGGCAAATTACACTGGTTCTTAATGTGACTGTCAGGTGGGAACAGTAACAGTAAAATGCTCAAAAGTTCTTTCAGAATTCCTCTACAGGTAGGTGCCTCTTTGTGACTCTTCCAGGGGCTACTTTCTTGAGGAAATACTCTGGTGCTGCAGGTTCTGGAGGACAGAAGAAGGCAGTAGTGAGGCTGCATTGTTTGAAGGACAGCATTGGAGGGCAAGGGAGGAGGGAAGAACAGCAAGTGGGTGTGAAGGGAATGCTGCAGTGTGAAGGATTGAGGACTCTGGATGAATGTGGTGTCCAAGTGAATAGTTATGAGATGGACTATGCGTGCTGTTCCAGCTACAGAAAGAGCTGGCTTTATCTGGTAATATATGATAAATGAATTTGAAAGATTTGGTTTGCATAGCATCTCCTGCTAGTACTGTGATGGTAAAGGTATCCGAGTCCCTCTTTCGCATTTAACAGCATCGCCATGCTCAGTGATAATTGTGATTATTAGCCAACTGCTAGTCTGAAGTACTACTGAGTTATCAAGCTAACATTTTGGGTTTTACTGTCCATTCATAGTGGGTTTTTTTTCTAATCTAGAGTTGGTTTTTTTTTTTTAACAAATGATACTTGAGAGGAATCTTTCACAGCTGATTTTTCTTTTATTTCCTTAATGTATTGAATACCTATTATGAAATAAAACTGTTGAAATTGTGCTTTTTTTTCTAGACCTTGAGTATCAGTTTCCATCCCAATCTATCATCAAAGGTTATAGTTTGCTTTGACATTTCTTCATTTTACTGTCAGAGATAGGAATAGCAAAAATTAGTTTAAACAAATGTTGGTGTTGTTGTGGCTGCTGAAGTATTTTAATACATCTATTTAGTATTTTTATTAGCTTTTTCATTTCAGTGTTAGTGATGTGTGGGGGTATAAAGAGAAATCAGTGTCTTTTGAATTATTAAAACATTTCAGAACATCTGTGAACAAGACTTCTAGGAGAAATGCAAATATATGTTTTCTTAGAATAAGAAGGAAAAATGAAAACCTGTATTAGCAATACATGCTAATACATATATACAATATGTCTGCAGTTTTGAGTTGTAGCCTACTGAAGACCTTTCTCTTCTAGGTCCTCCGAAAGCTTAGTCAAACCCATGTTAATCTGTTAATCTATTTTCATGTGGTAGTGTATTTTAGAAGTATTTTCTCTACTCTCTTGCCAAAAAGCATAATTAATTTTTTAAGAACAAATAGACTATACTTGGGTTATATCATAACTTTTGAAGGAAAATTTGCATATAGACGGGAGAAATGTATTTATAGAAAGCAAGTAGATTGAAAATTATCTTAGCTACATCTGTGTTTCCATGGATGAGAGAACTATGAAAGTACTACTGTTTGAAGTATTCAAAGAGTTTACTTAGAGCATGTTTTTAAAACATTTCAGTGTACAAAAAATGGACAACTTTTGTAAGTTTAATGTATTTACCACTGAAAGAGAATGAAGGACGATTCAATATATTTTAAAATAATCTCCAATTATAACCCTAGTGAATGAAAAAGTACACTTTCCATGTGTGCTGTCCATGTTTCTTCATGGATCATCAGGAACCTAACACTCAGAGGACAACGTTTTTCTGCTTTAAATTTGTTACCTCTGTAACAGTCATCAGCTTAGTGTAGAGGATTCAGGTTGATTTAAAATGCGTAAAGCTATTTTTAAAGTTATTCTTTAGGTAGGTATAAAAGAGTAAGTACGTAATGGGGGAATGGTTACAAATTCCTGCCTGGTACAGCCAGGATACTCCTCTGTGACTACCCTACCTTCCCAGGTGCCCTTGTTTAGTAGGTACAAGGCTCTGCAAGTGGAATCCAAATGATGAGGAGGATGGTTCATCTATGTTGGAAGACTCGCCAGATCTTCAAGTTGCCCTATGTACTGTGTTGAAACTGCTTCCAGAAAGAAAGATGAGGTATTGGCATAGGAGACCTTCCAGCGAGTGGAACAGAAGGTCCAGTTTCCTGGCAAGCCCCACTTCCTGGGGAAATCATCTGCTTCTGTGTTCTCCTTTATCCTTCTAGTTGCAGGGAAAGGTGAGGGAAGAAGCAAGACGAACCAGCAGATTGATACTTGGTGACAGCAGCTGGGGTACATGTCTCAGAGAAAAGCATCTTTGCACAAGGGTGCAGTGCTCATTAAAAGAGCATTAAACTGGATTGAAAGGGAAAAGGGCTAAGCCTGGTGGCCACACACTAATGTTGGATGGATGGAGTGGTAGCACAATCCTTCACGCTGCTCCATGATGTGTGAGTATGCTGGAGCACATTTGAAATACATACAGTACACACAGCATTAGGAACAAACTAATGGAGCTGGAAGTGAGCAAATACGAGGAGTTTTTTCATCTTTGTATCTTTTATGCTAGTAGGAAGAGCTATTTGGACATGGGTGAGGAAATTTTACCTAGTCCACAAAGAGGACTGTATTCCCAAAGACTGCTAGAAAATATACCCCTGGGTCAGAAAACGTCTGATGCCATTCACTGGACTCTGTCATTTAGGTAATGAAAATAACAATTGAAAAGTACTGAAAATGTTATTGATCAAATAAAACAGCTTTGTCCCTGTTTTTGAGATGTGTTAGGACCATTATATGTATAAAAAGGATATGCGATAACACTTTCGCTAGTGCAGCATAGTGCAACACTTTAGAAGTGCAACATAGCTGCAATGTTTTCTTGCTTTATTTTTTAGAGGCCTCTTAATTGTTTTTTACCCCAAATACAGGGTTTGTGATCAAGTAATTGTTTGCATATTTCTGTAAGTTACTTGAGGTATTTTGCAGTCATCTGTTTTTACTCTTCAATACTGCAACATTTAAAAAAAAACAAACCCAAACACTACAATTTAATAGATTTTTTTTTTAATTATTTTTACAAGTAAGACATGAAAAAAAGAATGTTAAAGAAGGAGCACAAGTTATTCTGGGGAAGACATGATTCCAGCTTCCCTAGGGGTCTCTGCTTTCTTTTTCAAATGATCAAATGATCATATCCTCAGCTGAGTTGCCATTGGGAACCAAGTGATACAGCCTGTTGCAACTGGGAGCTGTATTTTGCAGATTTTTGGAATTGGGAGTCCTGTGCTGCAGTAGTTTGTGAAGAGCAACCATTCACACACTGGCAGTTTTCCACGTAGAGATAGCTGTAATTTATGCTGGTTCCATTTTGGCAAGTCAGGGTCACCTGTCTTGTTTGGGTACCGAGTTCCTGGCAGCAACCACACTCATGTTCCATTTGGTTTGCTTCAAGAGAGTACCTGTATTCCGGCGGGGGAAAAAAAATTATCTCATTAAAAACACACAGAAGATCCCCTCAGTGATTTTTGTTTTGCGAGGGTTTGGTTTTGGGTTGTTTTTTTTTTTTACATCCTCTTTTCCTCCTTCTCATGCACACTTAAGAATGTGATTTTCATTACTTTTGTCTTCAATTGTGAAACCATTCTTGCTTCTATTGAATCCTGTTCAATTTGGTGGAATCATATAAACACATTAACTCTGTTGCTATTCTGTGATCAGAGAATTGTGTAGGTTGGAACAGACCTTTCAGAACATTGAGTCTAAGCGTTAACCCAGCACTACCCAGTCCACCACTAAACCATGTCTCTAAGTGCCACACCTGCCTGCCTTCTAAATACTTGTAGGGATGGTGGGTGATTCAATGGCTTCCCTGGGCAACCTGATCCAGTGCTTGACAACCATTTCAGTCAGTGAAGCAATATTTCCTAATATCCAGTCTTAACACCTCCTAGTGCAACTTGAAGCCATTTCCTCTCATCATTTCACTTCTTACCTGGGAGAAGTGAACCCCCACCTCACTACACCTTCCTTTCAGGCAGTGCTAAGAGAGTGTGAACATCTCCCCTGAGCCTCCTTTTCTCCAGGTTAAACACCTCCAACTCCCTCAGCTGCTTCTAGACTTGTGCTCCAGACCCTTCCCCAGCTCTGTTGCCCTTCTCTGGACATGCTCCAGCACCTCAATGTCTTTCTTTCAGTGAGAGGCCCAGAACTGGACACAGGATTCGAGCTGTAGCCTCATTATGGCTGAGTATATTGTCCTGGTCCTGCTGGCCACACTATTTCTGATAAAGGCCAGGTTGCTCTTGGTCTTCTTGGCCACCTGGGCACTGCTGGCTCATGTTCAGTTGCTGTCACCAGCACCCCCAGGTCCTTTTCCACTGGGCAGCTTCCCACCTCCTCTGCCCCAGCCTGTAGAACTGTCTGGGGTTGTTGTGACCCATGGGCAGGATGCAGCACTGAGCCTTATTGAATCTCACATAATTATTGGTAAAGATATAAAACAGCAACACTGAGCCCCAGGAAACACCACTGGTGACTGTCCCCCAGCTGAAAATAACTCCATTCAACACTACTCTCTGGGTCTGATCATCCAGCCAGTTTTTGACAGTGAACAGATCACCTGTCCAAGCTAAGAGCTCCCAGCTTCTCCAGGAAAATGCTGTCAAAAGCTTTACAAAAGTCTGGGTAGACAATATCCACAGCCTTTCCCTCATGCCCTCAGTGGTTCACCCTTTCATAGGAGATCAAATTGGTCAAGCAGCAGCTGCCTTCCCAAACCCATCCTAGCTGGGCCTGATCCCCTATTCACCTTGTATGTACTCCATGAAAGATAATCTACTCCATGTCCTTCCCTGGAACCAAGGTCAGGCTGACAGGCTTGTAGTTCCCTGGATCCTCTCTCCAAACTTTATTGTAGATGAACATTTCATTTGCTGACCTGCAATCATTTTGGACCTCCATGGTTGACCAGACTGCTGACAAATAATTGAAAGTGGCTTTGTAAGCACTTTCTCCAGCTCCGTCAGTAGTTTTGGGTGGTAAATTAACTTGACAGACCAGTATAAAGGAAGCGATAGAGCTGTTAAATTAATTTTTGGAACTTACATTGAAGAGCTAGGACAAGTTCCTTCACAATATGACAGCTCAACAGGTTCAGAAGACTCGCAGTCAGCATGGCGGATCACAGTTTCCTTGGTGTAAGGCTTGCAGTTTTTAGCTTCATAAAAAAGGGGGAGGAGAGAAAATATACTTCAGTTCTCTAGTTCTGAACTAAAGGAATTGTAAACCAGTTTCATAGTGCTTGATGTCTGATTAGTGAGAATCAGCAGTATGTGATGGGGTGGGTACTGTGTAACGAATATGGAGTTGTCAGATTATTATTTGGTTTCAGCTACAAAGTGCCTTTGGAAGATAATGCAGGGTCCTGAGCATTGCTGGCTTGATTTGTAATATTCAGTATCAGGAAAAAAATTGCAGTTTTCTTTTGAATAAACAGTGAAACACGGGGTCTTCTTAAATAGACTATGTGAAAACAGGTGAGTGAAGAGTCCTTCCATCCACTCAAAGATAGTTAAAAGTTGAATAGAATGTTATTCAGGCACAACACGTAAACATAGCATTACTTACGTTTACATATTTTGCAGCAGCCATCAGATGTAATCTCTGCTTCGTCCTTTGTAAAAGTAAAGAAGGAGGATTTGTATTAGTGCACAGATACCAATCATGAGTAAGAATATAAGTTAGCACTACTGATACTGGGCAGAAGGCTTCTCTGTAATGAACCCTGAATGAAACAATGGATGACACTGTCACCACAGGAGTCTTGAATACTTATAGCTTCATAAGAAAATACTATGCTTTTATTATTATTAATCACAGAGCAAGCCTAGTTTCATTCTTAAAACATTCCTGCAACTTCAGTGGAAGTGATTTGTTGTATTCTTCCTTGTCTCTCCTTGTTCATTTAAACTGAATTCAGTCAATGAAAAATTGGTTTAAAACTTACAGGATCACACTCTCCGGGTTCGTAATCAGGGCATACTTTTTTACTTTGGACTGCAACAAATTGATCTTCAATTTTTTCACATTTGTAATGGCTGCATTGATCGAGTGGCAGGATCTCATTAACCTAAGATTTTGTAAGAAAAGCAAAAGTTGGTTTTTTTTCATTGTGATCAAGTATGTCTGAGCTAATTGAGTTCTCACTCCTCAAAGATTCTCAGATGCTTCTAAACGTCTTTCAAGTGACAAAACAAAATTCTGCAAACTGTAGCTAGCTTGAAAGTTTAAATCCTGGCTCTGAACACTTAGACCATAAAATAGAAACCATTGCTCCATTAGCCACAAAAATCAAGAATTTGATTCCAAATAATGTTCAACTCAGAAAGCTGATACATTGTTTTTCAGAGTAATTTCAGTATTTTATTTTTATTAGTAAGGGACATGAGTTGACTCTTAGCTGTTCTAACTTGTATGGGGTAACAGATCTAAAAATGAAAGGAATACTTACATTGAGCACATGAACAGTGTTGTTACTGAGTTTGACTTTGCAAGCTACTTCAATACACTTCCCACAGCACTGTCCTTCCTCAGTCATGTATTTGTAACCCTACTCGGAAAGAGATGAAGGAGAAAGTATGTGGAATTGGTGATGGAAAATTCTAGTCTTGCTGTAGCTGACTGGGCAGCCTAGAGAACCTGAACTCACCAATGGGCAAGATGTCTCACACTGAACTGTTTCACAATGCACAATGTTTGCATTAGTCTCTGGATCTTTCTCAGAACTGCAAGTACACTTCTTACATGAATCGATTACTACTGACTTTCCAACCTGCAAGACAGAAAGAAAAAAACCAAAAAACATTCAAATGCAACAGTTTCTATATAATATAAAGACAGAGTTGAAAGCACTGCTAAGAACCATTAAGGTTTCTGAAATGCAAGTACAACAGTTCTCAAATTCTCTTGAACAGTTTTTTGGCTTCATGCCTTGCAGGAAAGCTCATATTAAGAGGAAACTAAATGAAGCAATGTAAAAGCAGCAAATTAACAAAATTAAATTGAGACTGGTTTGTACTGTCTAATTATTTTTACTAGCTTTTCAATGCTTCATTTAAGACTGTTTTTTCTCTGTAAGTTATGTTCAGTGGTTGTAAAACAATTATAATTTAAAAACTGGGATTACAATAAGCCTTTACATATACAGATATATAAGCAGAGATCTAAATTTACATATGGGTTTTAGTCTTTCTGAAATGTATCCCTAAAGACTCCAGTGCTAATATTTAAATTATTAGTTAATGACCTAAGTACCAATTTTAGCAAAAGGGTTTAGGCATCAATTAAATAAGAAATGTTAGTTTTGGGTTTTTAAGGTTCTCTAGGCTTATTTCAAAGAGCAGTTGAGTTTGGGCTATTCATCAGATTGTCTGGCAAAGTCATTAATTACAGAAGTGGGAGGAAGCTTAAAAAGAAAGTACATCTCTAAAAATGGTACACTCTTGTTTTATACTACTTGTTGAGGAAGACTTCTATGACAAATTTGATTTTGACTTTACCCAAAAAACATCCAATTAAGGGCTAGAGTGAAAAAACCCCAAAAATATACTGGGAAAAGAATTTTCTCGAAGACTTATTTTGGTAGAAAGAATGTACTTTTCACTTCCAGCAATATACTGCTATATCATTCTTACCGTGTACAGCGTTCCATTAATCACACAGACATCAGGTACTGGTTCTGAAAAACAAAACAAAAAATTAATTTCAGAATAATTCAAATTGTGAGACTTCCTGAGAAGTCAAGATGTTATCAGATTTTGTTAGTGACACAGAGAATATGGAAAACTTGAATTCAATCCAGCTGTACTTAGACCTCATATGTAGTGCAGCTAAATGTGTAAGTAAAGTTTCATCATTAAAATTTACTGGAATAGTTGGAGAGGAATGGCTTCAAACTCGAGCTGTGCCTTTTTTGCCCTTTCAGTATCTGGTTCCATTCATACTTGTTTCCTCTTTGAACCCTAGGAGTCCAGTGATATACAAAGGTGCTTCAGTTATTGATTCTTTATGACCTTTCAGAGAATAGGTTGTATGGAAGATTGACTCTGTGGAAAAAGGTATTCTTGCTGTGGTAATGTAAATCTCACAACATGACAGAGCCCATCTATATCTTTCACAGAATTGCTTCAAACTTGCCTGTTCCTTTGTTTTGACTTTCCTTTTTCAGGCTTAATTTATGGATACTTTTTTCTTTTTATTCTTTTGCACAAGTATACTTACATAAATATATGTATATAGAAGTGTATGTTTATAAACAAACTAATATAACCGTGAGATTTTTTTTATTTTCATTAGTATCTGGTGAGAGTGTAAGTATAATTATTACTTTTCATACACTGTCAACTCAGTTACTGATTACAATTCACTTTGTACTACTGCTTCCCGTTACTTGTTCTCATAGTTAACTGTTAAGATTTTTAGTGGCTTATGTTTATGCATCTTAGTTTAGTTGCATTTAGGCTAATGCTAATGTGCTCCAATGTTCCATTAATAACTTGAAAAAGATGCATTGATCACATTTATAATTGCACATACAGAGATAGTTGAGCTACATAGAACAGTGAATGTTCAAAATATTATTCTGCTCTCACATCCATTCTCTCATCAAAGTTAAATGGAAATAATATTATTTTTTTTAAACAAAACTTTAATGCATATTTAGCCAAAAATTGTATGTTCACTGGGACAGAACAGTTAAGAAAGATCTTGCTGCTACTGTAATACACAAAGAACTTCCTTAGATATTAATGGAAGTGCAAATGAAATTTACTGGAGTGTGTGGTGTGGTATTTATACATGTATTTTTAATACTTACGGCATTCAAAGTCAGGACAACATGGGTCTTTTTGTGGTAGTACAGGCATGGAAACAAATCCGAGGTCACAAATTGTTTGCTGAGCTGTTTGGCATGGGAGCGGCTGGCATTGCACAGTAGCAGTGAGTGAGTCACAGACACACTTCTGGCATTCATTTATCCACTCCTCTCCAGGCTGAAAATATGTAAATTATTTATTCTTAAATGCTCCTTCCTCCTAGTTTTTCAGTTTTAACTTAGGATCTACTCTCAAAATTAGTAAGAAATTCAGATTTCCTGGATTCTCTTAGTACATTATTTAAGAGCAGGTATGCTTAGAACAACCACAGTATTTTCTTCCGCATAAAAATAATGGTATTTTATATCTATGAAATTTAAATTTAAATGATTTTTATTAAAACCAAAAATCTGTGCCATGATCTTTGTGAGTTTTTCCACCTAGAGATTACTTAAAAGTCTGGTAATGCCAGGTTAAATAATTGTCTGCTATAAGGTCATTTGTTACATGACCAAGATTGTTACTGAGATACACAGAAATTGATTTGAATTGGCTGTTAAAGGACAGATGGTCTGGTTTTGCAACAGTGGTATATTAGAAAGTAGGGAGGGGTACCACCTTTCGTGCAGGATTGACATCAGTACAGTTTCTTTCTACTGAAGTTGTGAAGGTTGTTGCTGTGGTTGGTGAGGCAGCTTGCGATGTAGTTGAGGAGGCAACTGAAGGAATGGGAGTTGTCAGAGGACATGGCCCATAGAAGGGCTCAATCTCACATTCCTTGCTGCAAAGTGCATAAAAATTACAGCCAGCTCTATCTGTTCTGTTGTATACCACTTCCCCTGTAAATGAAAGTTGAAGGAGAAATTACAAGAATGAAAATAAATAGGGAGAAAAAAACCAAGAAAATATTGTGAAAATATAAAGCGTATTCATGTATAAAAAGTTCTACGTTTAGATAATTTTGAGTGGCTATCTTTAATTGAATAGAGTCTTAAGGGTTTCTATTGCTTACGAACTTTTTTATAATCATAAAATAAGGCACTTACCGGGAGAAAATAAAGTTTCAAACACATGACAAAAGCATGGGGTTATTTTGCTGGACGTAACAGATGTGCTGGTGGAAGAACGGAAGGTTGCAAGAGTGCTTGTTGTAACATGACTTGGTTGTGATGTACCAGTTGAAGTTGCTGAGGAGCACAAGTAATGATTTAGTTTGCAGGTACAGGATCTTGATCTAATAATTTTAATATATTAAAGAGGTCTGTTCAACATTCTGGCAAACCAAGTGAACATTTTTGTTGCATTGAAATATTTCACCTATTCATAAGTGGAGATTGTGGAAATTTTTCTATTATACATTGAATAACATCTGGCCTTTGGCAAATCTTATGAGATTTACCTCTAAAGTTTTCAAAAGAGTTTTGTTCAATGAAGTAAGAATTAATACTATAAAGTTAACCCAGCTGTCAAACATAGATAGTGGTAACAAAGGGGCAGACTGATTACATATTGGTTTATGTGTTTGAAGGAATATAGTCATAGACTCATACAATCACAGATTGGTTTAGGGGAAGATATGAATGTTGGTATAAAGACAAAGCTGGTTGTATAATTTTAAGAAGTAGACAATAACATACCAGGGCGGGACAGTAATGCCAGAGAAAACTGTTTTAGCAATATTTTCTACAGTAGCAGAAAAGAATGGTGTAAGAGTTTCTGTAATACCTGAGGTACTTCCAGACTGAGGAAGAGTGGTACTGAGCAGAGCTGAGGGGCCAGTAGTGGTTCTTAATTTTGTTTCAGGTGAAGTGGAGGCACTGCCATTGGTTGTAGCAATGATGGTTGTGCCCTCTCTGGCCTGGGCCGTGGTGCTTGGGATAGCCGTGGTGCCAATGGTTGTTCTTATTTTGACTTGAGAGCTTGTTATGGGAGATGTTGGAGCCTGAGTTGCTGCACTGGAGGTTTCTCCTGGAGCTGACGTGGCTGAGGCACTTGTGCTTCCTTCAGTGGTCTTGGAGGTGCTGGCAGTACTGGTGGCTTGTTTAGGCACTGTGTATCTTGGGGTGATGATAGTGGTTCCTTGTGTTGAGGGTCCACTTGTTGTTCCTGTAGTGGTTGTTGTTTCTCGCTGTGGAAGCGTGGGGAGAGGAGTTGGTGTTGCTGCAGGCTGGGTAGCTATTGTGGTTGTTTCTTCTCGGGCGTACGTTGTGGAGGTGCTTACAGTGGTTCCTGGCAATGCTACTGTTGTCTGACAGTGTTTTCGGTCACAGCACAACACTGAGACCTCGTAGTCGAAGCACGTGGGGTACTTGACAGTCTGGTCCCTATTTCTGCACACAAGCCCCTTCTCAAGGCTACACTCAAATTTCTGTCCCATTATTTTCACAATTTTGTCAGGGTAATCTTTAGCTCGGCACTTGATGTCTTGTGGCTTGTCACACAACTCATACCCAGCAGCTCGGATGTTTTCAAATGTCTCTAAATCACCATTTTCGCTGCCTGGAGTAGGGGAATCCACGTTAAACCACTGTGTCCAGGCACAGCGCTCCACCACGCAGTTGTCTGTGGTATTGGAAATGCGGATGGTGGTTGTGGATGGTGAAGGCACTGTTGTTGTGGGTGGGGTGATGGTTGTTGTGCCTTCAGTCTGAGGAGGAGAGGTGCTAGTGGTGGTAGCGATGTTGGTTGTGCCCTCTCTGTCTGGGGTTGGTGTGCTGGGGACTTCTGTGGTGCCAGTGGTGATTCTTATTTTTATTTCATGGGTGGAGTCAGTAATTGGTGATGTTTGAATAGCAACAGTTGATAATACAGTTGGAAGAGTTTCTTCTATAGATGTAGTTGTGCTTTCCGTGGTGGTTGTAGAGGTGCTGACACTGGTGGTAGCTTGGGTAGGCACTCCTGGTGTGGGTGTAGTGATAGTTGTGCCTTGCATTGGCAGTGCAGTAGTACTGGAGATTATTTTGGTGCCATGAGTGGTTTCTGGTGTTGATTCTGGGAGAGTGGAGATAGTATTGGCTGATGATAGAGCTTGGGTCACCACAGTGGAGGTTTCTGTTGTAGTAGTTGTGCTTTGGTAACCTGTTGTTGAGACTAGTGACGCCGTTGCTGTTATTGATGTTTCCGTCAGAGGAGTTGTTTTTTCTCTGTCTCTCAGTGGTGTTGTAGTTATTTCACTCTTTTGTTTTTGTGTTGTTGGTATTATTGTTGTCTGTACTGTAAATGGTGTTGATTCTACTGCAGTAGTTGTGAATTCTCTTGTGGTTGTTGGTGTTGTAGTTTGTACATTAGAACATGGTATGTATCTGCAGCATGATACTCTGATTTCATAATTGTAGCACTGCTTAGATTCTTGGTCCTGGTTATTGCATATTAGTCCTCTGCTTTGACTGCACTCTATTGTTTGGTTAAGGTTAGTAATTTCAGTATCTGGGTGTTCTTTGGCTCTGCATTGAACATCACTTGGGTTTGTACACACACTGTATCCTTTTTCCCTGAGATTTTGAAATGTTTCATAATCTCCACTGTCCTCTTTGTTTTCAGGCTGAGTGGAATCGTACCATTCTGACCACATACAGACATTTTTCACACATACAGTTGTCACTGGTGTTGCAGTTGTAATTTCTATAATTTAAAGAAGTAAACATAAGTCTTGTCTGTTCTTATTAAAGAGAGTGGTAGAAAAAAATTATTCATATTCCATACCCTTTTTTTTGTTGTATTTTTTTTTTTATTATGTAGTATTTTAATTTTAATGAACTTGCTTTGTCAGTCTCAAATTTAATTTCTAAAGCAGGTTTTGACCTTTTGCCTGTATTATTATTCTAGAGGTACTTTCTTTGACATTTATTAAAAATTTTTAGCTAAATATAGGTCATCTGATATCCTTTGCACAGTTTGTCACTGCTTAGATAATAGATCTCACAATTGCTATGGTATAAGTAGAGGAGGTTTTATTCTCCTTGGTATTATCTCTGTATTTATTTACACTTAACTGCATAACAATGCAGACTTTAAAATATTTTTACCAGTTAACAATTTTTCTACTTAGTTCAATATTATCACATGTCACATATTTATAAATATAAAATATATACTTAACATATATGTATTTTATATGTAGTACATTATAATAGATAATACACATATACTATATATGATATATATCATCTAGTAAGTACTTTCTATTTATTTTACTAAGACTTCATATTCCGGGCATTATGAAGATAATAATGTGGAATAGATATGACTTTCTCAATATGAATGTTACTTAATAGAATACTTAAAGTTGAATAATTAGTTCTTGCTGTAGTACAATTTTGTGGATGTATTTCTTACAATTACTCAGAATTTGGTCGCTGTCATTAATTAACTTCAGGAATAATGTATCAGTGTACTCCAGGAGTTGAAGGAAACTATTGATTTGGGTATTAAATACAATTAGGAAAGGTTCCAAAGAATGGTTATAAATAATTTAAACATTCCCTCAAACTAAATTTCTTATCTTCAGTTTGTGCTTATGTAATTTAAGAAATGGCTGCAACTGCCTTTAATGTTTTCAGAAGCTGATTAAGGACTATTGAGTTATTTTGCAAAGAAATGAGAAGATTCTCCAGGATGCAGTGATTAATAAACTCTATTAATTTTTCCCCTGGGAACACCATGGTGAAACAGAGGAAACTGAATTTGTAAGAAACGCTGTATTCATTTCTACACCCTTAACTCTGGTCTGCCTTTTCAACTAAAGCAGCGTTGTGAATTGGTGGCTCCAGTAGAAGTCAACAGTTTCAAGTAAAATTATATACTATTAACTGATGAAAAGGTCCTACTTTTCAGTTTATTTTTAGTCACTTACAGAGATTTTTGATTTATTTTAAAGATTATTCATGCATACCTGAAGCAGTAGTTGTGGGCTGACTTGTGGAAAATGTAAATGGGGTTGTTGTAAAAATGCCACATTTAAAGATGTTTCTGCTTATTGTTCCATTGACGTCGCATGTTGCACTGAAACACCATCCAGTTCCATCTGTGGTGTTGTAGATGAGTTCACCATATTTATAGCTGTTCTCTTCATAAATGCAGTTGCAAGCTGTAATTCAGAGGAAGTTTATTGTCAGTTCATGCATCTATGAAAAGATAGTATCCAGTATTTCTTTTTCTAAATAATTTTTCTTAGCTTTCTTACCTTTATCATCGAACTTGCACTGTAAACCTTCTGATGTGCACTCACTGAAACAGAAAGCATAAAAACCCATATGTTTTGTGATTGTGATGGAATTTTATTTGTCATCTTTCTGACAGGTACTGGCACCAAAAGGCAAGACATTTTGTGTTTATTACTAGAGTGTTCTGTTCGTTTTGGCTCCTTTTTGGCCATTATTTTCCAAAGTCTTCCTTTATATTAAACCCGAACATATAAATAGAAGTCAAGTTAAATATTATGCAAAGTTAGAGGTAGAAGTCTTAAGGAGACTTTCCTTTTCTACTTCATATCACTTTCCTTGCATTTGCAATGTTTTGTACTAAATAGAAGGCAAAAAGGGTGAGTCTAAATGCTCAAATGACGCAAGTATGTAATAAAATCCTTGGAAGCAGGCCACTAATAAATATCTTTACTCACGACACAACATTTTTCCTGCCACAAGAATGTGAAATAGAAATAGCCTAGTCATAAAGCACTTCTTGTTCTTGATGTATCTTTATGCTGAGGATTTACAATATAATCAGGAACAAATTCAATAGAACATAAAATCACATAAAACCTTCTTATTAATGTAGTAGGAAAACTGGCATTAGATAGTAAGGTACTATTTTTCCACAGGTAGCATGAACTGATCCTGCACGTAACAGCAACATACAACTTCCCCCTGGAGTTTAGATCTTTTTTTCCTTGTATATGATGAGTTTGGTATGTTAAGTCTTACCATATATTACATTCATCCCGTTTATATATCTTTCCATCCTCATCATCATAACAGTCACAGAGACTAACACACTTCATCTGATCCTCGTGAAAATATGGTTTGTCTGGTGGACAGTTAGGGTAGCAGCCTGAGGGTGGAAAAGGTAAGAATGAGATACACTCAGTGAAGGTTTTATTTGTGCCAAATGCATTTTCAGGTCTAGTTTTTAATACTCATAATGTTTTTACTTTATGTTTTGCAATAGCTCTAGGAAGTAATGCAGAGTTAGTAGCATCAGCAGAGCCCATCCATAAGAACTTAGTCCTAGAGATCTTTTTACTCCAGTTTCCATACTCTGCCTCCATTCATGTGGATGCAATGATATTAGAGAAAACTGAATTGTGCAAATGCAGCTGATGGAGGAAATACACTTCATTAAAGACAATTCAAAATATAATAATATATACCCAGTAGGAGGTATTTGCAGCTATTTTTACCTTCTAAACCTGGCAAGTCATTGAGACATTTTCCACTTGGATTCTTGCAGGTCTTCATACAGGAAGCACCACAAGGCTTATAATGCCATTCACATTCTCCTTGCTGATTGTAGTAATCACAGAACAGTGCTGAGGAGAAACAAAGTTGAACATGTTCAGAAAAAAAAAAAAAAAAAGAAAAGAAAGGCAAATAGTTTAAGCATAAAAAAAATCTACACAGTGATATATTAATGCACATATGTAAGATACTGTACATTTATCTACACTTTCAGAAGTGTTTATGACATAAAACTTACGACAAATTGTTGGGCTTCTCCAGGCTATACATACACCAACTTCACTACATGCTTGAGCATAGGCAGCTACTGCTGTACAAAAGCAATCACAGTCTCCTCCAGTGTCACAGGCACAAGCGTCTGTCACACATGCTTGGTAATATTTTGCTGGTTCAACCTATTATTAAACAGAAATATAACACTATGAATCCTGCCTTCTAAATTATTTCTTACCTTTGCTAGAGTAGTTTTCTTACAATTGTAGTATCCCAGAGGAAAAGCCTACATTGGAAATTTCTTTTTCAAGACACTGTAAGACACCTGAGGTGATGACAAATGATACATCCAAATCATGTATTGCCAGATTTTTAGAAACCCAGACTTGTATCCTGGTGTAAGATTAGATAAATTTTCAAAAAACCATACTAGGCAACTGCACAGTTACCTGACAGCATTTGTTATGTGCTTAGTGTCAGGTAAAGGCTATGCTGATACTTCATTCCTATGTTATTATTTCATTGAGCTTCTCTACCTTGTATGTGAGAATTTTTATTCTAGTCAAGCTGCAAGGAAATACATGTAAGTTATATGTCATTTCATAAGTAATTATGAAATTATTATTCTTTTGTAATTATTTTTCTTTTGTAAATGTCTTTATTTCTTTCAAGTAGGGACTACAAATCTGTCCCATTGAGGGCGATTGGAGTTTTCCTGCCATAAGTTGAAGTGAAACATGTAAATAAACAAGGCATGCATGTTAAAAGCTAGGAGAAGAGCACCTTCAACAACCCACAGACTTAGTTTTCACACAGTAAAGTTCTTCCCTGGTAGTACCTGAGAGTGACAAGCAGAAAAGACGTTGCTGTTGATGATGCTACACTGCTTCTCTGACCAGGACTTCCGATAAGGGTTGGCAGAACATGGGTCCTTGACACTGGAAGCATCAGGGCATGTAGAGGATACTTTCCAGCTGTTTCCAAACTCTAGGACATTCTCTACTACAGACTGACTCCTTGTAGTAAAGTCATTGATGCTGTTGCCATCATAATTTCCACAGAGACCACAGACCTGGCCCTGCAAAAGGAAGTAAATAAAAGAATAATAGATGTGAGAAAACTTGAAACAAAATCTGAGACTGAAAGAATAGAATGGTGGCATTCCATTCTATCAGTCCTGAACATCTTCATACTCTGGAACAGAGGAACAGAATAAGACCGCTAAGGCTGGAATGATACTGTCCTTAACGGTTTTCTTTCAAATATGAACAATAAAACCATCTTTGTCATCATAACCTTCTGACTTTGAGGTGTATTTTTAACAAGGAAATGAGGACTCACAGCTGATTAAGCTTTTCATTTAAGCCTTGTTTTATACAATAGCTATACATATAAAATAACAACCTTCTAACTATTAAGTGTTACCAATTCAGCCACCTAATCTATTCGTTGAGTCTTCACCATTAAGTCTGCTCACAGGTATATTTCCTTTGTGCATCCAGAAATATCCCTCGTTCTGAATGCATGGATCTGCACAACTGTGAGAGGCTGCAATACATGTTTTCTCTATGAAACAAGGTGCATGCTTTTCATATTACTACTATTTCTATAAAATGCCAGTGAGTGAGGCAGGAAAAGAACCTATGGTACTGGAAGAAGTCAGTATATATAGTTCTAAATTGCACTTAGTTTAAATACCTATTTTAAATGTCATTGTGGTGTGCAATAAGATAGCAAATTCCATATTTCATATATATTCCATATATTAGTGCTTATATATCATAAGCTAAGGAGTATGAAAATTGGAATTATTTTTCTTATCATCTGTGCAGTTACATGCTAGACAAATACTTGGTGGCATTACAAGAGGCTTTCACTCATAATATTCACTTATAACATGCTTCTTTGTTCTTGAAGTGTGATAATATGTGTGTCAATGAGATCTAGAAACAATGGATTAGTTTCAAGATCAAGCCTATTCAGTTGATTTTTACACATGTAGTTATGTATTTTAATAAAGCTGATAACCTTTAACGAGGTTCAGTTTGTAATTTCAACAAAATGTAAAGTCAAGTCCAAAATAGCATTTTGCCAACTCAAGTTCTGTCAGGCCACATAGGCACAGGAAGCTGCCTTCCAAGCTCAGAACAGCAGCAGGATGATGACAAGGCTACCCAAGGTACCAGAGGAATGGAAAGCTACGTGGGATGAATTGCAGGAATGCTAGAGACATCACTATTTGGGATCCTGGCAGGGAATCAACAAGATTCACACCCAGTCAAACCTGGACAGTAAATTGCCTCTGAACTGCTAGTACCTTGAAACTAGGGCTGAGCTTGATGAAGATGCTTGTTTTCTTGTCCCACATGAGGATCAGTCCACTTTTGGTCTCAACTACCAAGTACATTCCCATGGAGCGGACTGTGTATGGCACCTTGTCATTCTGTCCTCTCTTTACAACACTGACACGCTCTTCACCAAGGATCAGTTCATAGCTCTGAAACAGGAGGAAAAGGTATGGAGAAATGAGCTCAGGGGCTGCAACTGTGCTCTCAAACATGTTTTTCTGCTTTTAAGAGTACTATGAACAGTTTATATCATGAAAAATAAGCAAAATACAATAAATCAAAGCAATATAGTTCAAATCTCAGGTTCCTGGAACTGTGGTAACAGATATTTTAAATGGTGTAGGTAAAAAAAATGTCTTTTGACTGTCATGGAGGAACTACATCACATACAATAAAAGGTTAAGGTAACATAATAGGTTAAGTTTCTGCCTTTAGACTTTTATTTTTCTCAGGGATGATGTAAGATAGTGTGGGAAGTGGAAAACATAGAAAGGTAGGAAGGTCTGCCAAATATTTCACTTGAATCTGATGTAAACCTAATTTAATAGTTGAATTGCTTTTTAAAATATTTTCCAAATTCTTTGAAGTAATAGAAATCTAGGCTTCTCCTAAACCTTAGCAGGTACAAACCAAAACTGGTCTATATGCAAAACCTTCTTACCTCTAAGAAAACTTTGATAGATTTTGAGCAAGTTGTCCCAGTGTTGCCACAGGGAATATTTTCAGTGACAACCCTGAAGGTCCCATTGACTGTGCTACTTTTTCCACAGTGGTCCTGGGTAGAGAATAACATTTAAAAATATATTATTTTTACAGATACGATCAAAATTACCTCTCATTTTCTACTGCTAACTATCAGTACCTGGACTAGTGTGTATTCACAGTTTCCATTGAAGCTGAACCTTTTGTCATCAAAGGTGTTATAATGGCCATCTCCATAAATAGCACAAGTGCCCAGACATTGATCTTTTGTACATTCCCACTTCCTATTCTTGCATACACTAGGAAAAAAAAATAAAAAAAAATTAAATATTTTAATATTACTCACTGTTTTGTGTAGACATATCTGAACAATCAGTAATTGTTTGGCAAACCTGTCCCTGCCAAATGTTATATTGATTCTGGAAATAAAATAGTATTTTACATTCTTCATGTAAAGAATTAAAGAAGAGTTCTGTTCTGCTACCTGAATACCTTAACTTCAAAACAAGATATTTAATGAACCCTGTAGTCCTAAAGGTTTCCTCCTATTCTGTGCTTTGGCCATTTGACAGATATCAGAAGGCAACCTTCTCGTACCGTGTAATCCAAAACTAAAAGATCTAAAATCCATCAACTGATTAAATTTGCAATCCAAATCTTTCCTTGCTCTTGTACTATGTAAGGTCTTTAGAAAGGCAAATCATGGAACCAGGAGTGCTGTTTCTGCAGATACACTCACCAGGTGTTACAGTCAAAGTTGATCTTTTCCCCAGGCTGATACATGGCTTCATTGTGGATACATGGACATTCTTCTTCAGGAATGCAACCACCATTCCCATCTAACACAAGCCCATCTGGGCACACACAGCCAGATGTACATTGTGAGCTATACTGGAAAAGATAAGAGAAAAACATAATTTTAGAGTTAAATGATCACATTAGAAAAAGGAAGATTAAATTCTTGCCTTAGATGGTCATATTGCTGCCCAGCTTAAATAGGAGAGAACTGTGAAGTAATTAAAGGATAATGGAACAAAAAAGAAGTTATTAGCCATAGATTTAATAGAATATAAATCTGTTAAAGAAAAATGTTTTATGTATACCAATCCTGATGGTTCTGCTGGAACCTGTGAAATTTAAAACGTATTGGATCTTGCACTTTGTAGTGTGGAATTTTTGATTGAATGGACTTTTAAAAGAAAGACAAGTAATATTTTTTTCAGTTTGGCTAAGTTATATTTAAATCTATTTATCTCATATGGTACTTACCCATAAAATGGCATGTGGCTGCCTAGAACTTAAAGTGGAGTAACATAATTAGATGTGCAATAAGTACATAACTACAGCATGGTATGAGAAGAATGGTATTTGTCCTAGCCAATTTTTAGCTTTTCCTACAGAAGTCAAACAAGTGGTAGAGCCCTAGATTTTTCAGTAGTTACTGTTAACTGCAGTAGCTAAAGAAAGGTAGACACTAATCTTAAGAAGTAATTTGGATATTATTTATTATACTTTAATCCAAGGGTTACATTGTTAATGTTTTATAACATAATTTTAGGACTTTTTTGACAAGAATAATGTATCTGTGTTGTAGATTTGGGCTAGATCCAGTAGATCAATTCCTTTAGCAGCAAGAGCACAGACAAAACCTGGAAGCACCATTTCATTGGGCCATGACATACTTACACATTGCATATCCAGAGTCTGGCAACTTTTTTGACATTCTGCTCCACTTGTTCCTGCTGTGTTGTTTTTACAGTCAAAATAGACCATGGGAGATTTACAGACTAGAGGAAGGAAAGAAATGACACATTTTAGGGTTTATTTCACAGCTGTAGCTATTTAAACCATCTATAAGTTCTTTGGAAATTCCCTATTTCATTTAGTAGAGATTATATATTATCCCTATTCAATCCGCTGATTAGATTCACTTCAGAGCACTGGATTCCCAAAAAAAAAACCCCACAAAATATTTCAGAAAAAAAAGTCTTTATGTAAAAAGAGGTTTTATGACTAATCTAGTTCACTCCTGCCTTTTATGATAACTGTAGCACTATGACTAAGTGAGAAATGCTTCTATTAAAAATCCATTTAGAAGAATCAATTCTATGAACTATTCTGTGCAAGGCTTGGTAAAGAGAAAAAAGTTATCGGAAGATTTTTTTTTTACCTGGAGTTTCATTTGCTTCTCCAATGCAATTCAGTCTTCCCTTGACACAAGTGCTGTGAGAGAGGGAAAAACAATCTATTTTCTTCAATCCTCTCAAACCAAATTTTGAGATTGAGAGCTACTTATCCTTTGTCAGGTTTCAGAATTTTCAAAGAAATTCCAAAAACCTGTTTTGCAGTCTTAGGAACTCTCGTATAATGCCACTACACATGCTGCTTTCATATGATATCCATTGTTGCTTAGTACAAAAATTCATAGGTTGTAACTCATATTTGTCACTGCTTGATACTTACATTCTCAGAAGATCTCTTCTTGCTGGTGTTGTTGTAATTTTATACTTGAAGGATTATGAAATTAAATAAAAAATGCACCAAAATACAATTGCACTATCAATCTAGAAATACTACAGAATCATAGAAGCCTTAAGGTTCAAAAAGACCCTTAAGATCCTCGAGTCCAACCATCAACCCAGCACTGCCAAGTCCACCACTAAGCCATGTCCCTAAGTGCCACGTTTGCATGGCTTTTGCAGGGATAGTGACTCCACCACTTCCCTGGGCAACCTGTTCCAGTGCTTGACAACCATTTCAGTACAGAAATTTTTCTTAACATCCAATCAGAACATCCCCTGGTGCAACTTGAGGCACTTAGTACTTGGGAGAAGAGGCTGACCCACACCTCACCACAACCTCCTTTTAGGCAGTTTTAAAGAGTGTGAGTATCTTTGCTGAGCCTCCTTTTCTCCAGGTTAAATGACCTCAGCTGCTCCTCATAACACCTGTGCTCCAGACCAGCTCTGCTGCCCTTCTCTGAACGTACTCCAGCACCAAAATGCCTTTCTTGTAGTGAGAGGCTCAAAACTGAACACAGGATTTGAGGTGCAGCCTCACCAGGACCAAGTACAGGAGGACAATCACTTCCCTAATGTCAAAGGCTTTACTTGAAGTCCAGGCAGACAGTGTCCACAGCCTTTCCCTCATCCAATAAGCAGGTCACCTTGTCATAGACGGAGGTCAGGTTGGTCAACTAGTAGCTGCTTTTCCCAAACCCATGCTGGGTAGGCCTGATCCCCTGTTTGCCCTGTGCATGCTGTGTGCTGGCACTCCAGACAATCTCCTCCACGTCCTTCCCTGGCAGCAAGGTCAGGCTGACAGGCCTGTAGTTCCCCAGATCCTTCTTCTGGCCCATACTGCAAATGGGCATCACATTTGCTGACCTCCAGTCAAGCAGGACCTCCAAGGTTAACCAGAGTGCCAACAAATGATTCAAAGTGCATCTGTGAACACTTCCACCAGCTTCCTCAGTTCCCTTGGGTGGACCCCACCATAGAATTGTGTGTATTTAAATGGTGTAATAGGTCATTAATCTTTTCACTTTTCATTATAGTGGCTTCATTCTGCTCTCTGTCCCCATCCAGCAGCTCAGGGGAATATGTACCATTTGTAAAAGTTGAAAATAAAGTTAAAATAACTTAAAGTTGAAGAAATTGAAGAGAGAGCATTCTTCTGAAATTCAAGGTGAAACCATCTCACACATACCAGGCTTTTAACATGTTGTTTGAATGTTTTTAAAAAGAGTCACTTACCATACACGCCCATTTTCATGGACCACTTCTCCAAATGGTATAGGAGATCCTCTGTAATAGCAGGGGCATTCATTAGCAGGCACACATTTGCCACTCTCATCCATGTAGGTTCCATTTACACAAGTGCAGCCATCAACTGGGACAAACTTAATATTGCATGTGACATCAGGCTCACTCAGAGACCGGCAGGTGGGTTGACAGGAAGAGATGGTATAGCTGTAGCTCAGGGATTTGGGACATGAAGTGGTGTATTTTGCTTGAGAGAGGAAAATAAAATAGATTGTTAAGTCCAGACAGTAAATCCTCTTGTGAAAAAAGAAAAATCAGAGGCAATAGAAAAAACATGTAAACAATACAGATATCAGATATCTGCTTATGTTGCATCTTTCATGTAAATGTGTTTCTGAATAATTTCAGAGTTTGATCTGAAAAGCTATTGTGCATGTGGAGTAAATGACGCATGCAAAGAAGAAAAAAAATTTTCAAATGGAAGTTCAGAAGGACACCTCCATTTGGTGCTGCCATTCATTGCCAAGATGTCTAAACTTCTTGAGGACTGAGACAAGATGTCTCCCTGAATGTTGTCTGGTATGCTGAAAACAGACATACTGGGTAAGCAGAATCCAGCATGCAGCTTCAAAGACATTTAATTTGTGAGTGTTCTGGTCTGTATTACTAGTACTGTTATTCTAATAGAAAACATTATCTCTGCAATAACTTGTGATACTTTTAAAGCTGCAGTAAAACTCTTAAGTTGCACAGAAACAGGTGGAGGCACTTTCATAACAACAACAGTCCCTTTCCTAATCAAGCCACGTCTCCTGTCTATTCATATTCACTCTTGCCAGCAATTGATTGATTCTAAGGGGACAGCAGAGAATTACTTCCAGGAGTGCACTTAACAAAATCCCTTCCTCATTACTTACTGATTTGTCTAGAAATGAGTAGAAAATAATCTCTGATCAGCAATTCTTATTGATGTGTGTTCTTAGGAAATGGGATAGTGGAGAGTACTTACAGCAGACATCAGTCCTCCATCCCTGCAGCTGGATTCCTTTTGCAGCACAAGCTCTTACATAGGCAGACAGGGCTGCACACAGACAATCTTCACTATTTTCACAGTTACATGTGTCAAACATGCAGTTCTAAGAATGGAGAGAAAAATAAGGTCTCAGCACTGGTAATAAGTCTTAAAAAACAGTGAACTTTATCTTTCCAGTCTTATTCCTTATACCTTCTTCAGATATGCTCACTCATAATACAACAGTAACACAGTTTTATCACTTTCTAGTCTTTGTCTAAGGTTCCTGGGCAGGGGAAAAAGCAGGTAATGAAAATTCAGTCGATTACTGCAGTTATAATTAGGAAATAGTGGTCTTAAAGTCTCTTATACATTTTGCAGCATCTTGGTTCTCTGAACCTTATTAGTGGATATGCTGCACAACAGCATCCAAAGCTCCACTCACAATGTACAGTCCAGACACATAATTTCACCAGCGTTGATACCTGGGTGACTCCTAGTGAGAAGAGTGATTTGCAACACGTTGATAGCAGAGTGATGGTAATTAGGTAATGGGCGTTCTGTTCCAAGTGGTTATTAATGAGATGCCAGGCTGAAAAGGTGTCAATTGACTGATATTCAAACAAGCATTTGATGTGCCTTTAAATACACTATCTGCCTTATGTGTAAAACCATCCAGGAGTAAATAGCTACATCAGCAAACAAATCAGGATCTTCAAGCCAAGACTGACAATTGAAATAATGTTACGACACAAAGAGAAACAATGAAGGAAGGAAGTACTGCAGTACAGCAGTGGGGATACAGACATTTCATAAGACATGTCTGGGGCAGCTCCTATTTCTATTGTTTCCAAAAGGAAAAGCAGTCTGACAAAGTACCGTGTGGTAAACAGCGGGATTCACTGTGTAGTGACAAGCAGCAAAAGGTCCTGTGGTGTCAGTGAGTAGTCCACACCAATGCTGAGCATATTTTTCTGTGAAAAGAAGAAACAATAAAAATGCATGCTACTCTGTACTTCATTAGTCACAAACCCATGCTGCCCTGGCCTATGCAGACAGTTCTGACATTCTATTAAATCTCTTCTTCTCCTGTCTTTTTTTTTTTCCTTTTCACTCAGCTTGTTGGTCAAGGTTCCTAAAACCAAAGAATAGGACTTGTTGAAGGGAATGGATTAAAAGTTTCCAAAGATGCTCCTGCAATCCACTTCTCTGACACCAAGTTGTCAGCGTGGACATCTACTCTATTTTTAGTGACTATTTGCAGTTTGCTTCACTTATGCTTCTGTCACTCTTCTTTTACATTGTTACTTATCTTCAGTGCTTTCATTTCGAATATTTGTTTCCAATTTCAGATGTGTGCTTCTACTAAATACATATTTTTTTACCTTTGCTTTCCAACAGATGTGTTTTCCTTAGAGATAAGCAAAAAGAAAAAAACAAACCAGAAGAAATTCTAAGAAGTACTCACCATTATCAATGCTGAGTGCACAAGGATTCTCAAAACTCTGCTGGATATTAGGGCACGAGGCCTGAGTTTTCCATGTATTAGCAAATGCTGATGCAGTTCCTTCAATTATTCCACTTATGACCTTGAAGTCATCAGTTTGGATGTTATTGAAATTTCCACAGAGACCTGTTGAAAAGCAGTGAAAAGTTTATACTGCTTTGACTACAAAAAAAAACAATGATCGAGGTGTCCTCATATTTCAATCACTCACCACAAGTCTGGTTTTTGAAAGAAGCATCCAGATGCACAAACACTTGCATCGTGGGTATGAACTGTATTTCAACCTGGACGCCAACGCTTGTGTCCATGATCATGAAGAATGAGGAAGGTCTGAACATGGTGACATTAGCTACACATGAAAAACAAAACGGTCACTTTTTGAACAAGACCAAATGCTGAAAACACAGTACTGTTCTTTTTGAATTTCAAATAAAGATCTGGAGGTCTGAGATATCACATGGAATCCTTAGTTATTGAAACAGAGAATAAAAATAAAATTTCTTTCTAAACAAGCGTGAGAACAGGGGTAGTAACAAAAGACAAGATAAAAGAGGTAAAGAGATGTCTTCTGCCTTCACCTCTGTGCAGTGAGAAGGAAGTAAATCTGAGAGTTATCAAATCAGGAGACTGTAAATTCTGTTTGCTACTGTTTGAATCCTTGCCTGTGCTTGTCCTGCATTTCTCTATGACACCAAACATCCCACTTTACTTCAAAAGCACTTGTGTCATTCATTGTTAGAGAAAACAACTACCTGCTGACATGGGCAGCTGGGTGTAGATGGAGTTCACAAACACACCACCATCAGGTTTGACCTCGACAATCTGGTAAGGAAGAGGAGCAAAAGGCAACTCTGTGAGTCATAGACTGGTTTGGCTTTTAAAGGTCATTCAGTTCCAACCCCCTGCCATGGGCAGGGACATCTTTCACTAGACCAGGTTGCTTAGGGCCCCACTCACCCTGACCTTGAACACTTCCAGGGATGGAGTATCCATAACTTCTCAGGGCAACCTATACCAGTGCCTCACTGTAACTTTTCTCTAAAAAATCCTTTTTCTGTTTCTCTGTTTCTGCTGCATCTCTTCTGTATTTTTCTTTTTATTCTTGGATTTCTCAGCCTCCTTTGGACTGAATTCTTTTGGGATCCTCCCGCGTGGGGACCCCTGCTTATCTCAGTTCTTCCAATTCGAAGAAAACTACTGAGCTTGTTAGAATCTTGTTTCTCGTGTTTATTAAAAGGTCATCACAAAACTTGGCAGGTCTCTCCAGGCTGGCTACACAAGGTTAATCTTTGCAATTTGGCCCATTTCTTTCTTCTGATGGTACAAACAAGGCCTTGTGGCACACTTCGTGTCTGATGCACAAAATGGCCCCGAAATATGCAGTTCTTTTATCTTTATACCTATTTTCACCCAATTAACAATAGACACGTATTTTATTTTTCTTAATGACCCAATGACCCATCACCTTTGTGATGCACTGCGGCATTCTCTGTCTGCAAGTAATCACTACTACCCAAAAACCTCTATGAGAAGAACATGAAGAAGAAAGAAGGGACAAGAGACAACAACCTAAATCCTCCATCTTGTCTCCTGTTCTCTAAACTTTTTCACCCAGTGATTTAAAAAAACTTTCTAATCTACACACTTACACTTTTAGTTTTTTCCATCTAACTTTAACATTTGTTTTCATATATCACGATGAAAACACGCTCATGAATTTCATATTATATGAAATTCAGTGTTTTTCTGGATCTTATAGCTAAATATCAGAAACAAGGGCACACACTCTGTATTCCAGACTCCAACACCTCACCACCCTCACAGTAAAGAATTTCTTCCCAATATCTAAACCTTCCCTCTTTCAGTTTGAAGCCACTCCCTCTTGTCATATGACTTTGTGCCCTGGTAAAATATCCCTCTGCAAAGCTTTCCTTTCTCCAGGCTGAACAGCCCCAAATCTCTCAGTCCTTCCTGACAGGAGAGGTGCTTCAGTCCCATGTTTGTCTTTGGCCTCTTCTGGACCTGTTCCCACAGGTCCATGTTGTCCTTATGCTGGGGACTCCAGAGCTGGATGC